TCTGTTACAGTGTGTTACAGTCTGTTACAGTGTGTTACAGTCTGTTACAGTGTGTTACAGTGTGTTACAGTATGTTACAGTGTGTTACAGTGTGTTAAAGTACATTACAGTATTTATGTTAGTCTGTTACAGCACGTTACAGTATTTATGTTAGTCTGTTACAGTATGTTACAGTATGTTACAGTACGTTACAGTATTTGTGTTAGTCTATTACAGTATGTTACATTACGTTACAGTCTGTTACAGTGTGTTACAGTACGCTACAGTGTGTTACAGTACGTTACAGTGTGTTACAATCTGTTACAGTGCGTTACAGTGCGTTACAGTCTGTTACAGTGTGTTACAGTGTGTTACAGTATGTTACAGTGCGTTACAGTATGTCACAGTATTTATGTTACAGTCTGTTACAGTGTGTTACAGTGTGTTACAGTATGTTACAGTATGTTACAGTGCGTTACAGTATGTCACAGTATTTATGTTACAGTCTGTTACAGTGTGTTACAGTGTGTTACAGTGTGTTACAGTGTGTTACAGTATGTTACAGTATTTATGTTACAGTCTGTTACAGTCTGTTACAGTGTGTTACAGTGTGTTACAGTGTGTTACAGTATGTTAGTGTGTTACAGTGTGTTAAAGTACGTTACAGTATTTATGTTACAGTGTGTTACAGTCTGTTACAGTGTGTTACAGTGTGTTACAGTGTGTTACAGTATGTTAGTGTGTTACAGTGTGTTAAAGTACGTTACAGTATTTATGTTACAGTGTGTTACAGTCTGTTACAGTGTGTTACAGTGTGTTACAGTGTGTTACAGTATGTTACAGTACGTTACAGTATTTATGTTAGTCTATTACAGTATGTCACAGTGTGTTACAGTGTGTTAAAGTACGTTACAGTATTTATGTTACAGTGTGTTACAGTCTGTTACAGTCTGTTACAGTGTGTTACAGTATGTTAGTGTGTTACAGTCTGTTACAGTCTGTTACAGTGTGTTACAGTATTTATGTTACAGTGTGTTACAGTCTGTTACAGTCTGTTACAGTGTGTTACAGTATGTTAGTGTGTTACAGTCTGTTACAGTCTGTTACAGTGTGTTAC